TTCCCTCTGAGATATGACTGTTGCATGCTTCAATGTTTCTGGGTCTGTTTTGTCAGTTTCTTTTGTTCATTAGCTTGTTCTTAAAGAAGACCCTTCAACATTTCATGTAGAACTGGTCTGGTTGTGATGAACTCCTTTAGCTTTTTCTTATCTGTGAAGCTCTTTACCTGACCTTCAATTCTAAATGATAGCTTTGCTGGGTAGAGTAATCTTGGTTGTAGGTTCTTGCTTTTCACCACTTTGAATATTTTTTGCCACTCCCTTCTGGCCTGCAAAGTTTCTATTGAGAAATCAGCTTACAGTCTTATGGGTTCTCTCTTATAGGCAACTAATTGCTTTTCTCTTGCTGCTTTTAAGATTCTCTCTGTCTTTAATTATGATGTGTCTTGGTGTGGGCCTCTTTGGGTTCCTCTTGTTTAGGACTCTCTGTGCTTCCTGGACTTGTAAGTCTATTTCTTTCATCAGGTAGGGGAAGTTTTCTGTCATTATTTTTTCAAATAGGTTTTCAGTTTCTTGCTCTCTTTCTCCTCCTGGCACCCCCATAATACGAATGTTGGGCTTCTTGAAGAGCTGGGCCTCTGCCAGCTCTTCTGTCTGTGAGAAAGCTGCCCCTCTAGATCTCGCCCTGATCCCAGGCATGTTAGTCCCTCCTCAGATGTTCTGGTTTCCTTTCAAGCTGCTGCTGAGTGCTAGAGCTGAGAGGGAGGGAGTTCTTGTAGGTCTGTGGGCGGGCCCTTTAAGAGGAACTGCCTGGGACTCCCGCAGCCTCCGCATCCCTCAATCACAATCCCCACTGGTTTTTATAGCCCAAAGCTGTGGGGACTTCTCTTCCCAGCACTGGAATCCTGGGCTGGGGGGCCTGAGCTGGGCTGGGACCCCTTGCTCTCCTGGGAAACCTCCACCGCCAAGATATCCCTCCTGGGTTTAAACTGCTGCACCTGGGTGTGGGACCATGGCCTACCTCCGCGATTCATCCCAGATTCTGCCCCATGTCTCTGCCCCTCCTACCCATCTCAATCCTTCTTCAGTTCCCTCATTGTAGGACTTATGTTCAGCTAGATTTTTGGAGGTAATGAATGATGGTGGTTCTGTATTTAGTTGTAATTTTGATGTGGTTGTGGGAGGCGGTGGGTACCATGGTTACTTATGTGGCCATCTTGTTGTCTCTCTTCCATTGTTCTTTTTATTTTGAGGTCCTTCATCTATAGGTTGATTCTTTCCAAATAGTTCCTAAGGATCTTTCTCCTCTAAGTGGGATGTAATAGGTCATAGTAAGCCAAACTCCTGCAACAACAACAACTTGAAAATACACGCACACATAAATTTCAAAAATCATATTGGTTGGAGAGCTATGGAAGCAAGGAGGATGATTTGAACTAAAATTCCAGAAAGGGTAGAACTCTTCCTAAGTGAACTGAGGATTACAGCCATTTCCTTTCCAGGGGATATTTGATAATTCTGGGCACAGGCTAAAGAGCAAGGTTGGCCCAAGCAAAGTAATTCTTCTTGAGGAAACAGATATAAGAAGAGCTTTTGCCAGTCATTTGGGGCTTGTGTGATGGATTGGAAACTAGAGGAGCCCTAAACACAAGGCCAGTTTTCTTTTAGGACCTTAGCTGACTATGTAGGAGATGGAAGGCTGGCCCAAAAGGTAGAAAGAAATCTCTCAGTCTTGTGGCCTTTAAAGAGGGCCTGCTACAACATACAGCCATCTCTCTCTCAAGACAGTCAGATTTTGAAGGTGTGTGGAGTAGGACCTAGGCCCAAATCACCAAAGAGAAATGCTGGTTCTGTTGCAGTCTTTCAGGGCTGAGGAGACTCAGGCCTGTTAGGTTCTCAGTCAAAAACCTTAGAGGGCCATGACCAAGAATTGTGATGAACCATTGGTGAACTGACTCATACTGAAATTGCAGCTGGTCCTCAACCCATCTCAGTTTCTAATTGGGTTGAGGAGATCCTCTTATTGTATTTGCCTAACACAGGAAGGGTGAGTCATCTGTGGTTCTTTTATAAGCTGTATCTGGCATGTAATAAAAAGTACTAGACAATGCTGAGGCAGGAAAATATGACCAATAATAAAGAGAAAAACCACGGAAGCAGACCCATAGGTGATCCTGATGTTAGAATTAACATACAATGACTTTAAAACAACTAAAATTAATGCCCTGGCTGGTTTGGTTGAGTGGTCATCCTGTGGACCAAAGGGACCTGGGTTCCATTCCTGGTCAAGGGCAAGTACCTGGGTTGCAGGTTCAATCCCTGGCCCCACTCAGGGCTCATGTAGGAGGCAACCACTTGATGTGTCTCACATTCATGTTTCTCTCTCTGTCTTTCTCTCCTTCCCTTCCACTCTTTCTAAAAATCAATGGAAAAAGTATCCTCGGGTGAGTATTAAAAAATAATAATAACTAAAATTAATTTTTTAAGAAAATAGACAGAATAGGTGAAATGAGGGAAAATTTCAGGAGAATTTGAATCTATAAAAAAATCAGAAGGACAACCTAGAACAAAAAATACAACATATGAAATGACTAACTCATTGCATGGGTTTAACAGCAGATTGTACACAGTGGAGACAAGGTTAGTGGATTCAAATATAGCTCAATTAAAAATATCCAAACTAAAGTATAGAGGGGAAAAAGTGCAATGGAAAGAACAGAGCAGCAAAAACTTGTGGAGTACAGCCAAAAGTATAACATAAATATAATTAGAGGCTCAGAAGGGAAAGAGAGATTGGAGCAGAAGAAATATCTGAAGAGATAATTGGCCAAGACTTTTCCAAATTAATAAACTATATCAATCCACAGATTCAAAACCTCAGCAAACCCTAGGCAGTATAAAAACAAGAAAACCACATTTAGGCAAACTTAAACTATAAAAAAACTGAAGACAATAAACTTTTCTGGTTTTTAGTTTTCCTAAATGTAAGGATTAGAGGGACTTTCATGGAAATATTTTTTTCCCCAACAAAAAATTCAGGACACTAGTCTGACAAGTACACTCGTGTTTTTATGAGAGCAAGGTAGCAGAATATTTGAAAATGTGCAAGTATCCTGAAAAAAACCTGTGTTGAAAGCTTATTCTTCATTCTAATCCTCTACCCTGTGGTGAAACAAATTTATTGAGAAGAAATTGTGTGTGTTTGTTTTTCTATTATGTGATCTGGTCTCTGCCTACTTGCCAGTTGTATCTTGTGCTATTCTTTTTTTTTACTGTCTATGATCCAGTCATACTGACTTCTGTTCCTAAAACAAGCTATGTTCCTTTGTCCAAAGGTTCTCATACATGATCTTTTCTTTGGCTAGAATGGCCTTTCTAATGCTTCTCTATCCCCAACCCTGGACCCTTTACCTTAATAAATCATATCCTTCCTTCAGGCCTTCATTTAAAGGTTACTTTACCAGAAAGCAGTTCCTGATGCTCCAGGATAAATGACAATTCCCATTTATACACTCTCATTTACACTTGTATTTTTTTCATAGCACTTGTCACAGTTTGTAATTGCATATTTATTTGTGATTATGAATCACATATGGCTTAGTCACTACATTGTAAGTTCCACATCAGTTTTGTTCACCATTGTACACCATCTTTAGCAAATAGTAAATACTCACTGAATTTTTGTTGAATAAATGGACAAGTAAGTGGAAATACATACAGAGGAAGGATGAGTTCCAATCCTGGGTAATGACAGAAATGCTTCATCATACTGAGCTGATTTAAATTGCTCCCTAGATCTTTTGTGGTACCAGGAAGCAGTCTACATTGCTGGTTGTCACTTCTCATTTTCCTTGCAGCAATAAGCTAGCTCTCTTTAATGTTAACTAAATTCCAACCTGCCCTTGCTCTGGAGATAATTTAAGGCAAAATAAATCCTTTTTGTGTTTATGATTTCTAAATGCAGCTAGTAATAAGAGAAATAAATCTTTTCTCTGTTTTGAAATATAATAAAAGTGGAATCCAACTTGAAGGATCCCTGGTACTTGATTTAAAACTGTAAGCTTAATATAAAATCAGTCTTTTGACTCAAATGAGATTTTTTTCAAGAGTGCTGTGATAAGGTTGCCCTCTGGTGGCCACTTATGATGTTTTCATAGTCCTTATTTTTCCTGCTCTAGTCACTTTCTATACCTTGTATTTTAGATTGATGTAGATTTTTAAAGTAACCTTTTTGTGATAAGATA